GTGTGACACATGTGGTGCCTGTGTGCAGTATGTATGAATGTGGTGCGTGCGTGTGCGTGTGCGTGTGTGTGTGGTACATGATATCTTTATGTGGTATGCATGGCATGTACATGTGTGGTATAAGTATGGTACTTACATGCATGGTGTGTATGTGATGTTGTGGTTATGTGTTTTGAATGCAGTAAGTGGAGTGTGTAGAAATGGTAGTCTCCTTTAAGATACTTTGAAACTCAGTGAATCCTTGAGTAAGCCTGAGAATAATTTCCTTATTAGGTTTCTACTAAAATCGTGACTTTTGATTTTAAGGTCCACTAAGGAAGGTGAAAATGCACCTTCCTTTGCCAAATCGAGAGCTTCTCCATCAGATGTGCCTCAAGAATCTACCTTGATAAAGGCTTCAGAGTCCTGTACGGAAAAAAATGTATCCATGGATACAAGGCTTTCTGATATGGATTCAAACCTTGGGGGATGGGAAGATGATCTAGCAACCTGGTCTCCGTCGGTCTGGATTACACAGACTCAAGTCTCAGAGACCCGGATGGAGAAGGCTCAGGCCTGGGAGACTCTTGCTTTGGAGGCTCAGGCAAGAATTGCCTTACAACCCAAGCCCAGTGTCACAGAATTATCAACAGTGACACCCCTGAAACAAGAATCATTACAGTTGGTGAAAAGGATGAGTCAGAAAAGCAGTGAAGGCTTCCCTCCCCGGCTACTCTGGTCCAGCAAGGTTGAGTACCTCCTGGCCCTCATGGGCTACATGGTGATGCCATCTGGAATCTTGCGCTTTGTCACATGCTGGGTTCACAAAGGAAGCTGTAAGTCTGGGAACCAGGACACGTGGACCCAAAAGGGACAACAGGAGTGAAGCCAGTCCTGGCTTCCAATGCTGATGTCTCTGAGATGCTAGAGCAGGGTAGAAACCAGGAGTCTGAGCGCCCAGGGTCAGAAGTAGAGGTGCAGGGTTTGCAACATAACTCAGTGTGTTGACCAGGAAGAATGTCGGTGGGGAAAGGGAGATGATCAGGCATCTGAGACTCCTAGAATTAAGGCCAGTGATGAATGTGGGGCAGTCAAGCCTCAAGCCTGTGGCCTGAGGGAGGTTGCTGTTGGTGAGCAGTCTTTGTAGCTGCATAAAGAAGTACAGGCATTATGAGCCCAAGGCTCTCAGAACCCCTCTGCCTTCTCTCTGCAGTGAGCTTCTTTATAGCGTACATTTTAATGCTGTTGGGCATCGGGATTCCTCTCCTCTTCCTGGAGATGGCAGTTGGTCAGAGGGCACAGCAGGGCAGCATGGACCTATGGAAGAACCTGAGCCCCTGGTTTGGTGGAGTGGGATACAGCATGGTTATGGTGAGGAACCCCAGGCTTCACAAGCCTGCCCCACAGCTGCCCCTCCCTCCTCTATGGAGAAAATCCCATGACTGACTGTCCTGGTGTGGACCATGCTCCTTCAGCCCCTCCATCCCTTGTCAATTCCTTCTCTCTCCCTGTCCCTGGTCTTCCTTCACAGAGACCTCTCCCTGGTCTGCAGGTGTGCTTCATCAGTAACACCTACCTGAATGTGTTCAATTCCTGGATCCTCTTCTACATGAGCCACATATTCTACTTTGTTGCCCCATGGGAGAAGTGTCCCTTACAAAAGAATTCCAGTGACTTTGGTGAGGAAGGAGAAGTGGAGAAATTAAGGGACTTGGGAGGAGGTGGAAAGAGCAAGGAAGGTCCTGAAGAGAAGGACAGGAAGGCAGCAGAGGGAGGCAGGGGATGGGGGGTTGCTGTATCCAGCAGGCCTGTCCAAAGCCATGTTCCCCCAGATCCTGAGTGTGAACAGGCAACATCCTACACGTACTTTTGGTACCGGCAGACCTTGAAAGCCTCAGACAGATTCGAGGATGGAGGGCAACCGTCCTTCAGCCTGGGCATGTTTCTCTTTCTGTCCTGGTGTCTCATTTGTGCTTTCATGGTCAGTGGGATCAAGTCCATTGGGAAGGTGAGTTGCACTTGGCCCTTGGCATTCTCAAGTGCTACAACCTCATTTCTCCCTCCTGGCCACTTATCCCTGAGAGCTTCTTGCCTGGCTGATAACTCTTTTGAGTGCTCATCCAGCCCCTTAGCTCTTCAAAGCTGAGTCTCTAGACAAACAGCTGATGTGCTGCCCTTCTCGTATAGATCCTATGTGTCTTGATGGTGGTTCCCTATTTCATCATGATCTGCTTCCTAATCCGGACTCTGTCAATGAGCGACACAGAGTATGGGCTTAAATACCTGCTGGTCCTCAAGGTGAGGCTCTTCCTGGTTCTCTGAGCTCCGGGACCAGCACAGCTGCCTGTTGTTGTCTCTTATACCTCCTCCCCTCTCTCTTACAGTTGTCCTTTCCCAGATCTTGATGTCCTTGTTGTACCTGTCTTCTCCTTTTTAGGTGGCAAGCATCTTTGACTTAACTATGTGGTGCCATGCAGGGATCCAGGTGTTGTTTGATATCGGCCTGGGCTTTGGGCCCATTGTCTCCTTCTCCTCACACATGCATGACTTCAACAACTGTCTGGCCGACGCCATCCTTTTGGCTCTGTTCAAGATACTCACTTTGTTGCTCAGCACACCCGTCCTCCTCTCCATCCTGGGCTTCTGGGCCACTATAACCACACATCACTGCTGTAAGAGGTAAGGCCAGTCCCTGTCAGGTCCATCTCGGGCAGCTTCACAACCCATTCACACACACACTCTCAGGGAGGGTACAAGCTCTGCTTCTTCTTAGCTGAGAACAGAGCCACTTTCTAACATTAGAAAGCTCCAGAGGTTGTCAATCTGTACCTCAGAGCTGATGAGCTAACAGATGCTAAGATTGACAGGCATGCAAAGGTCACCCCCACACAGAGAACAGAATCTGAGGCCACAGCACACAGAGCCAGCGTGGAGGTCTGTTTCCTGCACAGTCCCTTTAACTGTGTTCCAAAACCCAGCAGTCTCTGCCCCTCTGGCAAACTTAAGCTCTAAGGAGTTAGAGAGCTAAGGAATCTTTCGCTTAGCCTTGGCCGTCCATCTGCTCAGCCGGGGCTGTCCATCGGCTTTGCATCTTGTTTTGGCCTTATTGACACATTCTAACCCCATGTGCTCATGGGGTATATAGTGACATATGTGTACATTACATGTTGCTAAAATCATTGGTCACACTTTCACCTCAGACATTATTATTTCTTCGTGGTGAAATCAAAGTTCCCTCAAGTCGTTTTGCCTTTTGAGACAGGGTCTCACTATGTAGGCCTGGAATGCCCCATATTCTACTTTTTTGCTCCATGGGACAAGTGTCCCTTACAAAAGAATTCCAGTGACTTTGGTGAGGAAGGAGAAGTGGAGAAATTAAGGGACTTGGGAGGAGGAGGAAAGAGCAAGGAAGGGCCTGAAGAGAAGGACAGGAAGGCAGCAGAGGGAGGCGGGGGATGGGGGGTTGCTGCATCCAGCAGGCCTGTCCAAAGCCATGTTCCCCCAGATCCTGTAGCCCAGGCTGACCTTGAACTTCTGACCCTCCTCTCTCTGACTCCTCTCAGCTTGGTTTACAGCTGTGTGCTATCATTCCCAGCTCTTGTAGTTACTTTTGTTTTTTAAAGATTGATTTATTTACATGCATATGAATGTTTTGCCTGCATAGATGTATGTACCCATATACGTGTCTGGTGCTTGTGGAGGAAGTCAAGAGAGGATTCAGATCCCCTGAAAGGAGTCACCAATGGTTTGGCGTTACTATATGTGTGCCGGGAGCTAAATCTGGGTCCTCTAGAAGAACAGCAACTGCTCTTAATGGCTGATGCGTATCTCTGGCCTCCTTGTGATTTTTAAATATGTAGGACACTACGATTAGCTATAAACACCCTACTGTATGAGAGAGCACCAAAGTGTCCTGCTTTTCTGTGGTCATGACAGTTTGCTGCTGCTTGTAAAGTGCCCTCAGCCCACCACAGAAGCTTGGACTGGATCCTCAGGGTGTTTCTTGATTTTACTGCTTTTTTCAGTCTCTGAAGGAGAAGGAATGAAGAACAGGGCCTTAAGTCAGCTCTTCACAAGCTTGTGATAACTGACAGTGTGAGCTGAGAGTCAGAGGGCAAGCCTGAGTTGGGGTTCTCCGTAGTAATTGCAGTGTCCACAAATGACTGTCATTTTCTCCTAGAAGCTGGTGTTGTGTGACTCTTCCTGGGTGACAGGGAAGTGACAATAGGCCAAAGAGTGTGTAACTTTAGACCAGGTAGTGAACCATCGACTTAGCAGGGTTTTCACAGGGGCAGGGTGAGATATTACCTGAGGAAATGGCTCACTTAAAGGCAGCACTGTGACCGTGTGCCCACCATACACGGGTGATATGTTAAGGGAGCTGCCTCCAAGAGCTCCCTGAACTACTTGCTGGCAGTTGTAGGAAGCCTCCTCTCCCCACAGCATGTGTCGCTATAATATAACCTGAGGAAAGGGGCTTGTGTGTCTTGTAACTTTATGAGCTTCTGGTGCTTCCTGAGTTTGGTTAGGTCCCTGAGTGCTATGATTCTCCCTCGGTTCAGGAGAGAGAATGTCAGTTCAGGCTTATAGAAATTAGCTACATGATAACCTGAGCACATCTATGTACCCAGTTCTGCATGGCAGATGCTGTTGTCCCTCATAAACCAGAGACTGGTTCCAGAGCCCTGCCAAATACTGCAGTCTGCAGCTGCCCCACTTTCTGTGTGATGTACTATTGCACTAATGTGTTCCTTTTTTTTCTTTTTGTGGTTTTTTTCGAGACAGGGTTTCTCTGTATAGTCCTGGCTGTCCTGGGTGTTCCTACCATGTCTTCCTGTAGACTGAAATCACCCAGGACGGTACAACCCTGAATGGTGTCCCTGCTGTGACTAAATGTAACTTTGAGCTGTTTAGGGACTAAAAGTTTTGATTTGCTTCAGGGCACTCTTCTGGCCCCAACTGGCTTGGCTCAGGTCTGTCTTCCTGTCCAAGCCTGCCATCTGCTAGATGTCCAGGTGTATGCTGTCATGCCTAGCTCTGTCAGGAATGGTCTGTACTTGTTTAGTGCAGAATGCAGTCTTGGGATCTAGTCACACAGACACTCAGCAATAGCATAGAGTTTGCAGTCTAAGCATTCAGAGCCCACAGCCGTGCAGACTGAGCCTTAGAAGGTGTTGTTGGGCAGGGTCTGCTCAGTGTTCAACTGCTCCAGTGGTTTGATCAGAATTACTCTCCCAAAAGGAAGTGTAAGGTTTCCATCTCTTTATTTTGCACAGCACTTTACTAGTCATGGCTGGACCTCTTAATTTTGCAAGTCTGAGAAGCCTATAATAGAATATTTGTGTTATTGGTTTAGCTGTTTGATTATCGTTGTACTATGTGCCTGCTGTGGGGGCAGGGATGTCACAGCTGAGGACGGAGCACAGAGGATGACTTTGTGGTGTCAGTTCTCCCCTTTCACTTTCAGGGCTCCAGGGAGCGTCGCAAGGCTTGTGTGGCAAGTCCTTTACCCACTAAGTCGGCTAGTAACGCAGACAGGGGGTCTCTATGTAGTCCTGGATGTCCTGGAAATCATTTTGTAGACCAGGCTGGCCTTGAACTCAGAGATCTGCCTGCCTCTACCTCCCAAGTGCTGGGATCAAAGGTGTGTATATATTTTTAAAAGTCCCCCTTTTTATGAGATATTACATACATATAAAAAGACACATAAGCCAGGCGGTGGTGGCGCACGCCTTTAATCCCAGCACTTGGGAGGCAGAGGCAGGCGGATTTCTGAGTTCGAGAGTTCGAGGCTAGCCTGGTCTACAGAGTGAGTTCCAGGACAGCCAGGGCTACACAGAGAAACCCTGAATCGAAAAAAACAAAAACAAAACAAAAAAAAAGAAGACACATAAAACAAAATGTTCAGTGTAAAGCTCTGTGAGCTTCATTGCACCCACATGAAGAACTGTCCCCCCAGAAAACGCTCTGTATAGTTTGTTTACTTCTTTCTTCCTGAGAATGTACATGCCAGTGGAGGCCAGACAAGGGTGCCAACCAGCTCCATATCACTCTACCTTATTGCCTTGAGGCAGGCTCTCTCCTAAACTTGAAGCTCTCCATTTTGGCTAGAACGGCTGTCTAGCAAGTTCTAGGGATCTAGCTGTCTGCCTTCCCGTGCTGGGATTACAGGCATGTGTGGCTGAGCAGTATTCCTGGGTGCTGGGGGTTGGGACTTGAGGTCCTCCTGCTTACAGAGCAGGTGCTCCCACCCATAGGCCATCTCTCCAGCCACTCCCTGCATTTTTTCATTGTAATCTCTGCACTGGGCTTTCTGCCCTCCTTACTGGTCCACTTTAGCCACGGTTGTTTTGTAATGTGTTGGTTTTGCCTGCATGGATGTTTGTGTGCCACTTCCTGTTTCTGATGCCTTTGGAGACCAGAAGAGGCCAACAGATCCCCTGGAGCCATCTCTCCAGGCCCTTTGGTCTTTATCTTTCTACCACCTTTTGACTGTTTTCTCTCTTGTTTGCTGATTTTGTTAATTGTTTCATTGACTTGTTTTTTATGTTCTCTCCCAATGGGTGGGAGTAGGGAGTAGGGAGCTCAGCAACTAGGAACGGGTGCTGCTGCTTGTGCAGAAGGCCCGAGTTGGGATCCCAGCACTCGTGTCTGGCTGCTCGCGAGTGCCTGTAACTCCAGCTCTAGGAGATCTGACATGCTCTGGATTCTCTGGGTACCTGCACTCACATGCACATGTCCCTGACATGGGATTTAAAAATAATAAAAATAAATGTCTCTTTTTTGAGTCAAGTGGTCCTGTTCAGCCTGGGACTTGCTGTGTAGATCTGGCTTGCTTCGAACTTACAAAAAATCTCCTGCCTCTACTTCTCGCCACCCACACTGCAGTGGTTGGAGCTGAACCCAGGGCCTTGTGTGTGACAGGCAAGTACTCTACACTGAGATGTACTCCAGCCCTTTTCACTTTAAGGTTATATTTATTTTTAGTTTTTAGGGTGCTTTTATTTTATTTTATTTTATTTTATTTTATTTTATTTTATTTTATTTTATTTTATGTACATGAGTGTTTTGCCTGCATGGAGAACTGTGCATGCCTGGTGCCCATAGGGGCCAGAGAGGGTATCAAAGTCCCTGGAACTGGAGTACAGGTAGTTGAGAGCTGCCATGTGGGTCCTGGGACCTGAAGTTGGCTTCTCTGGAAGAATAGCCAATGCTCTTAACTACTGAGCCATCTCTCTAGTCCTCTTTTGAAATATTGGTTGATTTGTTGGTTGGTTGGTTGGTTTTTCTGAGACAGGGTCTCTCCATGTAGTCCTGGCTGTCTTGGAATTTACTCTGTAGATAGGAACTCACTATGTAGACCAGGCTGGGCTCAACTCATAGAGATCCACCTGCCTCTGCCCTCTAAGTGCTGAGATTAAAGGGGGTCCATTACCCCTACCCCCTCTCCTCTTCCCTTTCCCTCTCCCCCTTCCCCTCCCCTCATACCAACCCCCACTCCCTCTCTTTCACTCAAGGTTTCTCTGTGTTGCCCTGGCTACCCTGGAACTTGTTCTGTAGTCCAGGCTGGCCTTGAACTCAGAAATCCACCTGCTTCCACCTCCCAAGTGCTGGGAATAAAGGTGTGTACTCCCCCCCCCCCCGGCCCCGCCCAGACTTCTTTACTTGAATTGAGAATACCCTTTGTGAGTACACTGTGCTTGCATCATTTTACCCTCCTCCCTTATCTCTCTCTATGTCCCTGAAAACAAACAACAGACACTGGTTCTACAGCCACTGACTGCCTGCAGCTCTTCTTCATCTAGGAGTGTGCCTTGTAAACCTTCCTCCATTCATGCTGACATATCTACTGGTGCACTCTTTGCAAGTCTTGTGCAGGCAGCCATATTGTTGAGAGTTCATAGGAGCAACATCCCTCTCCTGTCAAGAAGACCCTGTCACACAGAAATCATCCTGGTGTGCTAGGCTCTCAAAATCTTTCCACCCTACTGTTTCCTGAGCCTTAAGGATAGGTGTCTCACTAAGTTTCCCTGGCCTTGAAGTTGTGATCTTCCTGACTCAGACTCTTTGAGATCTGAGATTATAGGCCTACAGCACTAAGGCTTGGCTTAGTTATGAAGATCTTTAACAGCCTAGGATTGAGGTGAGTTCCTCTGGACAGGAGCTCTGGAAAGACTTCTTGGAACTAAAGTCTTGGTCTTGGGCATAATCAGAGTCAAAACTTGGGCTTCAAGATATAGCTGAGGCGGGCTGGTGAGATGGCTCAGTGGTTAAGAGCACTGACTGCTCCTCCAGAGGTCATGAGTTCAAATCCCAGCAACCACATGGTGCCTCACAACCATCTGCAATGAGATCTGATGCCCTCTTGTGGGTGTCTGAAGACAGCTACAGAATACTTACATATATAAATAAATAAAAATTCTTTAAAAAAAAAAAAAAAGATATAGCTGAGGCTACCTCATGGGTTCAGCCCATTAGAAACTTCAAATATCCTCTTGTTTTGTTGATTTGTTAAACACCCATGTGCTCATTCCCTGCTGCTCAGAAGGACTGGCAGCAAGCTTCTGCCTCACTATGCTACTGAAGGAGTGGCCTTCTCACTTCAGGTGCTGAGTTTAAGATGGGAATTTCTGCCAGGTATGGCAGCGTCATCCTTTTTATGGCAGAGGCAGGAGCAGAGGGGCAGAGGGGCAGAGACAGGTCTCTGTGAGTGAGGCCAGTCTGGTCTACATAGTGAGCTCTAGGACAGCCATGAAGAGACATCCTTTTTTTTTTTTTGGTTTTTCGAGACAGGGTTTCTCTGTGTAGCCCTGGCTGTCCTGGAACTCACTCTGTAGACCAGGCTGTCCTCAAACTCAGAATCCGCCTGCCTCTGCCTCCCAAGTGCTGGGATTAAAGGCGTGTGCCAACACTACCTGGTGAGACACCCTATCTTAAAAACAAAACAAAACAAACGAAACAAAAACCCAAAACCAAAAAACAAAAGGAGGGTGATTTGGGCTTCTATACCACCATTTATTTATATATTTTAATTAACTAATGTTTTCACATTCATTTATTCAGTGTATAAGTAGCTGGAGAAGCCAGAGGATGGCTTCTGATGCCCAGGAGCTGGAGCCAGCTGCAGGCAGTTGTGAGCCTCCTCACATTGGTACTGGGAATCAAACTTGTGTCCTCTGGAAGAGCAGCACGTGTTCGTGTTAGCTGCTGAACAGTTTCTCCAGCCCCTTGTTAACAGTTTTATTCTTTTTTAAATTTTTAAAAAAGATTTATTTATTTATTTATTTTATGCATACGAATACACTGTTGTTATCTTTAGACACACCAGAAGAGGGCATCAAATCCCATGGTTGTGAGCCACCATGTGGTTGCTGGGAATTGAACTCAGGACCTCTGGAAGAGCGATCAGTGCTCTTAACCTCTGAGCCATCTCTCCAGCCCAACAAGTTTTATTTTCAAAAGAAGATTAAAAATATGTTTCAGTTTAACTTATTCACAATGAGAATATTAGTCCAAATGTGTAATGAATGGGCTTGTCACCAGACTAGCATCCTGTTTTACACTGTAGGATATGGTCAGTCTATACTGCATTCACAAAGGCTGCACAGCTCTCAGCTCAGGACTGAAGTAACAGTTCCTTCACATGTCACAACTTGGGAGTGTCATCATACACTTCAAAGTCCAGGGAGCTGTCTCGGCTCTCTGTAGTGTGGAGTTGAAAAGACTGCTTTCCCCTACCAGTCTCAGGAAAGGTCATGAAGACCAAGACCACAGGGTCCCCAGGAAGCCCATAGAGAATCCCTGCCCAGGCTCCCCAGGGGCATACATTCTTAATGGTCCTGAGAATAGGCATGCTTGAGGTTCTGCTGCAGGCTTTCCTTTGCCCAAGTCAGTAATGCTGGGCTTGAGATGGCTCTCATGGATAAGATGAACAAGGGAAGGCCAGTGCCAAAGCCTGACCCTTCTGACTCACCTCATCCTCAGGAACACAAAGAAACTTATAACGCTGATAGCCCAGGGGATCCTGCCTCCTGAGGTAGAGCCCCCGGACCTGCAGAACAACCCAACCACCGTCTACAACTCCTGGCTCAACAGCCTCCCTCCACCCTTGAGGAGCGCCGTCCTCAACATAGTGCCTGAATGCAACATCCAGAAGCAGTTTCTGAAGGTCAGTGGAAATGGCCCAGGGCAAACGAGATGCTGGAAAGCGTGCTCTGCACCACAGAGTTCAGCTTTCATTAATTCCAGAAAGAAATGTGATGCATAATCCTGGTAATTCAGGAAACGCCACGCACAGAACACCTTCTGTGGTCTGCTTTCCTCTCGGACTCAGGGGTTTCAGGGAGTTTCTAGAAAAGTAGAGAGACCACTTTACTCTTCTGTGCATGCAGATTGAGGATACCCCTCGCTTCCTGTTCCTGATCTTCACTGAGGTCATCTCACTATTACCTGGGTCTGCCTTCTGGAATGTCCTCTTGTTCCTGTTGCTGCTGGGCCTGGGGTTGTGTAGCAATCTCATGTTCATGCTGGGCAACATTTTGGCACTGCAGGACACCTTCCCCTTCTGCAGAAGACAGCCGAGGATGCTCACAGGTATTCCCACCTACGGTCCAGCTCCCTCCCAGCGTTATCACCAGCCCTGACTTCGCCTCCCCTTAGCCCTGTCATCTGCCAGAGCTCTAGGATCCTGACACAGACCTAATGCTTCCTCCAGTGTGTCTTTCCATGGCGATGTTCCTGTGCGGCCTCATCTTCATCCAACCTTCAGGCATCTACTACTTTTCACTGCTGACTGATTACTGGGTAGCAGGGCCCATCATGGTCATCATCATATGTGAAACCCTTGCTGTAGCCTGGGCCTATGGGGCCAAGAGGTGAAGGGCCAGGCCAGACCACCAGAGCATGGATCTGTGGGGAGGGTTGATGGTTTCCTGTTGTTTCTAATCTCAAACTAGAGTGACATGAGGGCCCTTAACTACAAGGGCTCTGAGAAATGTTTATTTATCATACTTTGGTGTATTTCATGCACTTTATAACCTACTAGTGATCGGGGACACTGCATAAACCAAAGATAGCACCCTGTGTTCAGGAGCCTCCATGCCGGTGGTATAGACAGATAGCAGCAACACTGACAGACATGAAAACCATAAGTTACAAGTGAGGAGAGGAGGAGGCTCAGCTGGTAACGTCCTTACTGTGCAACCATTTAGGTCTGAGTTATATCCTCAGAACGTACATAAATAGTCATGATGGCACCATTGTAACCCCTCATCCTAGCAACCAAGACACCTACTCCTGCAGAAGACAGTCGAGGATGCTCACAGGTACTCTCACCTATGGACCTGTTCTCCCACTGCCTTAACACCAGCCCTGGCCCGTGACCTCCCCTTAACCCCCTCGTCTGCCAGAACTCCAGGATCCTGACACATATATGCACGTGTGTGAGCTCATCTGTATGGGTGTTTCTGATTCTGTGTACACCAGAGGAGATGGGAGGTGCAAACAGGGCCCTGATAGCCAGGGAGGACAGCTTTCAGTTCAGTGAGAGACCCCGGCTCAGTAAAGTCAAGAAGCCACCTGTCATCAAGCTGCAGATTCCACATCCGTGCACAGGCACACAAACAAAAGACAGGAAATCAGAGGCTCCACTGGTTCCGTGGAGGTGTGTGTGCTTCAGACACAGTGGTAAGGAAGGGCTCCTTAGGGGAGGAGCCATGCTTTATGTGGAAGTGCTGTGCATGTATATGTAAGTATGTGAGCATATCTGTGTAAGCATTCCTGCATCTGAGTACCCCAGAGGAAATATCCTGCTGAAAGCTGTTAAGGAACAAGGAATCCAGGGCAGCTGGAATAGAATCAGGAGATTTGAGGGCAGAAGATGGGGCCTTGTAAACCATGATGTGACCTAGCTTTGCATGCAGCGTGTACCAAAAACATTGATGGTTTGTAGGAAAGAGTACCATGGTCAGAGTCTCACTATATATCCCTGGCTGTCCTAGAACTTGCCATGTAGACCAGGCTGGCCTCACATAGGAATCAACCTGCCTCTGCTTCACAAGTTCCTAGGATTAAAGGCATGTGCCACCAAAAACATTTTTTTTCTTTAAAGTAGGCACCTCTGGTGGCTTTGTGGAGGAAAACCAAGCAGAACCTAGGAGGAGACCTGGGAGCTGTATACGATCTAAAACAAGAGCTGGCAGTGTCTTTGGCTTGTGTAACAAAGACATGGTGGGAGAACGGCCTGATCTGGGGACTGGAGTGGAACAGAGCCTGTTCAGCATCCAGCCAGAGGCTCTTCTCTTGTAGCTCAGATCTGAACTGTCAGCCACTGTGTTTGGATAGTCTATGTCTCACTTGTGGGGCTGTTTTGAAGGCTTTGCAGCCTTTAGGTGGCTGGGCCTGGCTGGAGAGGTGATACTCAGCCCCGAGACTAGCAGGCTTTCTCTGCTTCCCAGTCCATTCCATGTTCCAGCGCCATGGACAGAGCTGTCTCTGCAGCCATCTCTTCCCCATCGCTATGACTAAATTCCCCTCGAAATCAAGAACCCTAGTAAACTTTGCCTCCCTTAAACTTCTGTCAGGTGATTTGTCACAGCAGTTCAAAAACTAATAGGGTGGGCATAATGGGGCAGGCCTTTCATCTCACACATTGGAGGCAGAGGCAGGGGGATCTCAGTGAGGGCTAGGCCAGTCTGACCTACACAGACTCTGTCTCCAAAAAGAAGCAATGATAGGACACACAGTGGTCTAAGTCCAAGGCAGAAGGTGCTGAGGACCTCAGAGTCCATATATGTAAGTACACTGCTGCTATCCTCAGACACACCAGTAGAGAGCATCAGACTCTCTAGAACGGGAGTTAGGGATAGTTGTAGGCTGCCATGTGAGTGCTGGGAATCAAACCTGGATTCTCAGCAAGAGAAGCAAGTGCTTTTCATTGAGCCATCTCTCCCGCCCCACATTCCCTTACGTTTACTTTGTGTGGCTGAGCGTATGTGTATGGGCGTGTGTGTGACAAGTGCATGTGTGGAGGTCTGAGGACAGCTTGTCTGAGTTGGTTCTCTCCTCCTACCATGTTGGTCCCAGGGATTGAACTCAGGTTATCAGGCTTGACAGCAATGCCTTTCCCTGCTGAGCCATCTCACTGGTTTTCAGCAAACATTTGAGACTCAAGTGTGGCAGTATCAGCGTTTGTGTGATGTGTATTTGGGGTCTATCATGAACCTGGAGCTCACCAGCTAGATTGGACACAGGTGCACACCACTGTGCCTGGCTTCTTTGTGTATATTGAAGTCATCTCCACCGTGCCGGAAAACCCTTTTGGTTCTGGCAAACCCATCATCATATTGAGATACTCTCAAAGCACAGGGTCTGTAGGAGAAGAGCATGTGCAGACAGCCCAGTGGGGGTCCCAAGTCCATGGTGGAGTGGACACACCGAGGGTGATGATGGAGATGTCAGACAGGCAGGGTACCGAGGATGGCATTCCGAAGCAAAGTCCGGACAGACAGAGAGATGGAGAAGAGGACCTAGGCACCCTCAGTCAAAGGGCCTTGGGTATGTGTGTAAAAATTTGAGACCACGTGGCTGAAAGAATCCAAGATTGAGTTCCTGGGATTGAGTGCTGTCTAGGCTCTGTTTGTTTGGCTTATGTGACTCGGCGTTGGGTACCTAGCACCCAGATGGGTACTTGCCACATCACAGATGTCATCCCAGGAGGGATGAGAGGAGTGTGGGACCCATGGAAGGTGTTGGATAGCAGGGAATGGAGGACAGACTAGACAAGGCAAAACAGGAGGGCTGACATAGAGCAGGCCTGAGCTGCCATCACCTAACCTCCCCTCTGAGCCGGGGAGTCTGGACTGGCTGCAACATTCTGTGTTCCTCAACAGGTTCCTTGAAGACATGATGGTTCTGCTAGGCCGCCCCATTTTCCCTGGCTGTGACTGGCTATGGCGCTTTGTGTGTCCAGTGGTGCTGCTAGCCCTGTTAATGTCCATCTTTGCATACCTTGTCCAGGGACCCCTTGTCTACATGGCCTGGGACTCAAGCACTGTGAGTGCCCCTTCTCGGATCCTGGGGCTCCTTCCAGTCCCCTGTGAGCTGAGGACCTGGCCATTGGCTCTGATCACAGAAAACTCACCAGCTTCCCCTTCCCCTTTCCCTTCCCCACCACACCTCTTCTTTCTCTTCTGGGAACATTGCTGTGTTAATCTGTGTTTCCCTGTCTCTCCATAGTCAAAAGAGGTGGCTCGTCTTTTCCCAGAGTGGTCCTTGATCCTGATTGCCGGGCTGTCTGTCTTTGTCCTCTTGCCCATCCCTGCATACTTTGCATACTGCCTCACCCTGGGGATTCCCTTCAGAGCTACACCATCCCATAACCTGCTGACTACAAAAGAGGCCTCAGAGGACATTCTACAAGGCTACAAAACAGAGTCCTAATGAACCTGTCAGCAGAGTCCCCAACTTTTCTCATCAGGCCAGACATCTTGCATCTTTTACAACAGACCAAAGAGGCAGCTCTGAACAGCAGCTTAAAGCCATCACCAGCCTGGATGCCCAGGGCTGAGGAGCTGTGAGGCCTGCTGGCTTTGCAGCACATTCCTGGCTGAGCTCTTCCATTGCCATACAGTGTGTCCCCAGACCTTTGCTCAGTGCATGTGAGTGTTCAGTGAAGTCAGGCTTGGCCTGCCAGCCCTGCTCCTGGTCTGTGGGTCTCCTGCAGGGAAGCGCGGGCTGCTGGTCAATAAATCAGTCACTGCAGCTCCAGACTCTGCGTGTCAGGCTTTCTTCTGTAGATGTCTCAGGCAGTTGGCCTTCATGATGCTGCCATTTGTTTTTTAGAGCCACATATCTAGCCCTGTGTCCTCACTGCCCCACCAATTCAGATGCTCGATCAGCTCCCAAGCCTTGTCCAGAGCATGCTCCTCAGCCAAGAGGACCTGAAAATGGCCTCAACAAAATGCAAAAGATAGCAACGTACTTGCTGAAAGAATAGTAATCCCACCGGGCAGTGGTGGCGCACGCCTTTAATCCCAGCACTTGGGAGGCAGAGGCAGGCGGATTTCTGAGTTCGAGGCCAGCCTGGTCTACAGAGTGAGTTCCAGGACAGCCAGGGCTACACAGAGAAACCCTGTCTCAAAAAAAAAAAAATAGTAATCCCATCACAGGGCGCAGAGTCTTAAAACTAATCTTGTGTTTGTGTAGGGGTATGGGTGTGTGTATATATGTGTGTGTACACATGCACACATCACAGCATGCATGTGGAAGTCAGAGGACAACATGTAGGATTTGTTTCTCTCCTTCTAATATGTGAGCCCCATTAATAAAACTCAGGTCATCAGGTATAGACCAAGTCATTGTACCACCTACCAAGACTCATTTTTGAAGTTTACTTTTCAATACTATGGACTATGCATACATCTGTACATAACCAGGTTGAGGTCTCACAGAGTTGTGTCACTGGAGTCCAACAAGGGTCCCCCAGTGCTTGAAAAGAGACATTGCTGGTTTCATGGTGGGATTGATTGGATGAGCCTGCCCAGCTAAGTCAGCTCAGGTGGTTCCAGAGCTGAGCTAACACTACTTTCCAGGTGACCAGAGACCAGAGAGATTCTGGGTAGCAATAGCTTCATTCTAAGAGAGCCAGAGAATGGATGGTCTCCAAATGTGCCAAGGTCATGAGACTTGGGGTTCCCAGCTCACATTTGGACCTCAGAAGACTGGGAGATGTGGAGGGCTTCTGTAGAGAGTTCAAGGGACCAAGTCGCTTCTCTCTGCTAGGTCCAAATGAAGGCAGAGCCTTCTACCTGGGTCAGAGTCTATTTCTTCATCATCCTTCCTTCTGCCTCATCCCAGTTCCAGCTTTGGGGTCGCAGCCATGGGAGTAGGATCACAAGGAAGAGCTTAAGGTTTTGGAGAAGCAGATGGAGTGCATCAGGCCTTGCTGAGTCTCCTCACACTCATGTTCTCTCCCCTGAAGCCACTCACTCATGGCGCGCTTGGGCACCTAGCTGCAAGACTGCCTGGGAAGCTTCCAGGCTGCTGCAGTGGGTGTGGCTGAGTAACAGGAGGGTCAGGTTCTGTCTGAGGTTCCTGGATAACTCTAGATCTCTCTTGTCCAGAGTCAATTTCCTAGTACTTGTGGGTGTGACTGAGCCCTCCCTTTGGCTTCTCATGTGCTTTGGCACACACACACACCATAGTGGTGAGATAGTCACCTTCATAAAGGGCTCTGGGTTGGTTCAGTGAGCTGGCTAGAACCTGGCAAGGCCTGACAGCCTCTGGTTTCACTCACTGTCATTCTGATGTTTCTGAATACTCTAAAGGAGGAGCCTGAGGGATCACCATGTGCTCATTACCTGGCCTGTCTCTCCCACGAGACCAAGCTGCCTTCCACATGCCTCTGCACCATTTTAAAGCAGATACCAACTTGATCATTTTAGCTGTTGGTATCCTTATGTACCCTCTTAAAATTTAACAAAGTAGTATTATATACCAAACAAACCACACGTACTTAATGTCAGTAAAGATCCACACAAGGTTTTTCTACTGTGTGATTTTTTTTCTGGTAGCTTTGTCTTCATTTTTTTTTCTTTTTACATTTATTGTGTATGAGTGTGTATGTGTGTGTATGTGTGTAGGTATGAATATGCCATGGTGCCTGTATATTTGGATGACTATTTGTGGGAGTTGTTTTACCTTCTACCAGAGTAGACATGGCTTAGTGGTACAAGGCTTGTCTGGCATACACAGGCCTTGGATTCCATCCCCAGCACTGAAAAACGTAGAAGGGAGAGATGGACAGAGAGAAGAGATTTGGATCAGCAAGCAGTCTTTTGTGTTAAAGGTGTTTGACACCAAGGCTAGTGATCTGAGTTTGATCCCCAAGAACCACATGTTCTTTTTGCTTTCTAAGATAGGCTCTTAGTGAGTCATCCATGCTAGCCTTGAACTCACTCTGTTGCCCAGACTGGGTTTTAGTTTTCAGCCCTCTTGCCCCATTTTCTTAAGTAGCTGGAATGACAGGCCTGTACCACCAGGCCCAGCAATCTGCTGTACTTCTTATGAATTAGTACTTAAATCCACAGACTGATTGATTTTTACATTCAATTTTTTAAAAAAAGTTATTAGCACACATCAGTCATACGTAACCCTGGGTCTCATGATGACATCTCTGCACGTGTATGCAGTGCACTGTGACCGTGGTCACCCTCATTTCCCTCTCTTGTCCTTGAGCTCCACTGATCCTCTTCCTTTCCCAGAGAGGCCACCTTCTACTCTCATGTCCTTGTTATTTCTTGGAGACCTAGAGAGTCTAATTCTTCTAGGAGCATGGATGAGGGGTAAAGGCCTGTGGCCACCCTGGGGAGGCTGCACCACTGAGGAATTGTTTCTCCCCTGCCAGCAACCACTGCCTGTGCAGAAGACCTCAGCTAGAGGCAGGCCTTTTGAGTTCCTCCCTCATCCATGACAAGATGTTGACGGGCCCTAGTGCGCAGGTGCTCACGGCTGCTCTGAGTTAGGAATGCACAGCATACTCTTCCGTGTTCCTACAGTCAAATGAGACTTTCAAACTTACCTGCTGTGGCCAGTGCCCCGTCCCTCCCGTCCCTCACCCTCATCACTGTTGCTTTCTTCTCTGTCCCTGCCTACTTCATGCAAAGAACTCACAGAAACCCCTTTCTGCAGCTCCAGGAGAGGTAAGACATAGCAAAGAAGATGAATAAGAGACAGGTGAGGTAGCTCAGCAGGTAAAGGCACCTGCTCAAATCTGACCCGGACACAAGATGGCAGAATCAGAGCTGACCCAGCAAGTTGTCCTTTGATCTCAACGTTCTTGCTGTGGCATGGGCACAAATATGCGCGCACGAGTGTGTGTGTGTGCGCACATGCATGCATGCCCACGAACACACACAAGTGCACATGCACATACGTTTTTAAAAGGATCACATCTTCAGCCCCACCCTGCAGTGATTGTGGCTTTATGCTCTGGAGCTGGGTCTCAAGTTGGTGCAAGAGACACTGAAGGTTTGGGAGCACTTTGAGCCGCATGGGTTAACTGACATTACAAGCCCTAGTGAAGTTTCTCTCTTGGCCCATGGGGCCCATGCTCCTCTCGCGGGTGAATCTGTATTCATCTTCTGAATCTTAACCCCGGGTCCTTGGCTCACCTTTAACAGCGGATTTGCCAGCACTGCTACTTTTTCTAGAGTTTTAGGAATTGTTCATCTAGAATTTCATATAAGATGTCGCTACAATTCTACATTTGCGACTGTTTCTTTTTCCATTTTTAATTTCATAGTTCCTCAAGTAGTTTCAAAAATAGCATTTAGACCTACATTTTCCTCTTCTTATTATCTTTGTCTTGTTTCATTCCTTTTTCTTTTCTGCTTTCTACTCTTCTTCCTCCTCCCCTCCTCCTCCTCTTCTTCCTTACTCTCTTTTTCCTCCTCTTCCTCCTCCTCCTCCTCTTCTTCCTCACTCTCTTCCTCCTCCTCCTCCTGTTATTATTTTTTTATTTATCTCTCTGTCTTGTTTCCAAGAGGGCCTGGAATTCACAAACTTCTCTACCTCTCAAGCGCTGGGATCATAGGTATGTGTCCCAACAGTTGGCATTTTTCCTGGCATCTTTTTTTCCTCCTTCATGTGTACATGTGAAGTCTAACTGGTAGCTAGAGACCTCACTCAGCCTGCTCAAAGCCAAATTCTACATGGCGACCAGTGACCTCACTCAGTCCATTGAGCTATAACTACCTGGCAACAGGTGACCTAACAGCCCCAGGGCAGAATCTCCCTCAGCTGACTCCAGGGAATCCTCTGGACAACCGGTGACGTCACTGGCTAGCTTGTTGGGCAGAGAAGGAAGTAGCTGCTTCCCGCGCGGGTTCTCAGACCACGGGGCTGCGAAGACGTGGGACTCTGCCTCCAAGCGGCGCGGGGCCGAGGCCTGCGGTTCGCGCGCTGAGGCGGGTACGGACCACAGCGTCCTCCCCGGCCGCCAGCCCTGCCCACTTGGAAGCCGGTCCGCTGCAAGGCCGCCGTTCCCTTCCGGGCCGCGGGGGGCGCCGTCGGGACGCTGCTGGTGGGGCTGTCTCGGTCTTGGAAGACCACCAAAGGTACCAGCAGGTTTCTGTAGTGACTGGAGAGTGAGCAACTGTTAACAACCAGGTTTTGAGGCTGTGCGTGGCGGCGCACTCCTGTAATCCTAACACTTCGGGTACAGAGGCAGGAGGATTTCTGGGGCCAGCTTGATCTACATAGAGAGGTCCAGGACACCTAGAGCTACACAGTGAGTTCTTGTCTCAATAAGTGGGAGCGTCCCTTTAATCTCTGCACTTGGCAGGCAGGAGGATCACTGGGAGTTCGAGGCTTGCCTGGTCTATTAGCAAGTTCCTGGTCAGCCAGAGCTGTATAGAGAGACTCTCTGTCTCATGAAACAAAATAATAAATAAATATGGCATAGGAAAATAGTTACGATATAATATAGTTTATGAGAAATGTACATAGTGTATGTAGATATTAGTACATAGGTTTCTACCCTGTGTGTATCCACATATACTATAACAAAAGTTTCTTTAGTCCCAGTGTTATAAAATAAAAGGCCACATGATATAATTTTTTTTCTTTATTTT